CTAAACAAATTCTAGAGCAGCAGAACCCACAAAAAGATAGAGTGAAACAAATTCCCAGCCCAAGATAACTTGGAAGGTCGGCAGGAAAGATCTGTTGCACCAGGGTGAGAGAGGAGTACAGTACAGCACAGACCAAGCCCCAGTAAACCCAGAGCAGGCCTTATGGCAACTGAGTTACTGGCAGCACTGGTGGTTCCCAGACCTCTCAGCCCACAGATGCCAAAGACAACTTAGATTTTTTCATAGGTTCCCAGAGTGGGCCATACCACCTCCCAGTGGGGCACCGGTATGATACAGTATGGTGGTAGTAGCCTCAGGTGCAATTAGGGGACATTGAATAAAAATAAGGGGGCAGTGGAAGCATAAGGAAAGAAGATAAGAAAATTGTGAAAAAAACATTTATACACGCTTCATCTGTTGTATAATAAGGCTAAAGTCATAGTGATTACATTATTTCCAAATAAACACACAAAATGTAAGTTATAACCTATCAGTGGTCAAGTCTTCCGACAGGTCTCAACAATTAAGTATTGGAGAGCAGTGTCGCACATTGTTAGTCCAGAGTGCATGGGCAGGAATATACGTGTACAATGACTTGTTTACAATACTTTACTATACAGTTACATGACACAGTATTGCATCATCAAAATTTCAATGGAGGAAAAAACCACAAATTTACAATAAATTATTAAATTTAAGATTCATCATTTTAAATATATATATATATATATATTTTATATTTTTTGAAATGATGCAAATTTCAAAAAAAAACCAGAAGGGTTAAAGAAAGTAGATTTCCAGGGGTCATTGAGTAATTTTTTTTTAAAGGGGGTCAAACAAATAGGCCATACAAGTTTGGGAACCTGTAACTTAGAAGGTCAACAGGAAAGGTCTGTCACAGCTAGATGAGAGTAGAGCGCGTACAGTCTCAGCCTCAGCCTCAGGAAACAAGGAGCCAACCTTGGAGGAGGCTGTATGGGCGGCTCCAGCGGCAGCGGCTCTCAGCCCACAGCCAGTAAGGGGGTCGAAGACTTGGCAGAAGGAGATTACAGGGGTCTTTTCGCAAGCACTGAGGTAGGACTCTTGCTAGGACTCTGATCTGGGTCAAAGTCCTGGGCAGTCCCAGGGCAAGGAGGAACACAACCACAGCAGAACTTGAGGCCACCATGGAGGTAGGATTTTCTTCACAGTTCCAGGGCAGAAAAGAGTGCTTGGGGTTGCTCACAGACCAGAGCACAGATTAGGAGAGTAGTAAATACCTCTTCTTAGATCATACCACCTTAGAAGAACTGAAAACTTATAGATCCCTAGAAATATTTCTGAAAACAGCTGTGTAAAACCCCTGAAGCTTGGGGCAGTTCGCCCTCCACCCTGGAAGCAGAGCCCTACTTTAACAACGCTAAAGCTCAAGTAATAGGCTGCGAAAATGCACAAACAACCGAGGAAGAAAAAAAAAAACTCTGACTATAGAAAGTTCCTATGGTGATAAGGAAGATCAAAACATACACTCAGAAGAGGACAGCAAAGTCAAAGCTCCTATCTCCAAAGCCTTCAAGAAAAACGTGAATTGGTCTCGGGCCATGGAAGAGCTCAAAAAGGATTTTGATCGGAGGGCTGGGAATATGATATTCTGGAGGGTAAAGGAGCTAGGATTACAACCCAGAACCATCTACCCAGCAAAACTGAATATAATCCTTCGGGGGAAAAATAGACATTCAATGAGATAGAGGACTTTAAAGCATTCTTGATGAAAAAGACCAGAACTGAATAGAAAATCTGACTTTCAAATACAAGAAGCATATAAAAGTAAAAAGGAAAAGGAAATCATAAGGGATTTAATAAGGTTAACCTGTTTACATTCCTACATGGAAAGATGATATTTGTAATTCATAAGACCTTTCTCATTATTGGGGTAGTTAGAAAGACTATATATATAGACAGAGGGTACAGGAGTGAGTTGAATATGAAGGGATATCTAAAAAAATAAAATCAAGGTGTGAGAGAGGAACATACTAGGAGAAAAAGAAAGTGAGAGGTAGAATGGGGTAAATTATCACACATAAAAGAGGCAAGAAAAAAGCTTTTATAGTGGAGGGGAAGAGGGGGGAGTTGAGGGGGAGTGAGTGAACTTTACTCTCATCAAAATTAGCTCAAAAAGGGAATAATATACACATTCAATTGGGTATAGAGATCTATCTTACTCTACAGGAAAGTAGGGGGAAAAGGGGATGAGAGAAAAAGGGTGAGGGATAATAGAGGGGAGGGCAGATTGGAGAAGGGGGTGGTCAGAAGCAAAATATTTTTGAGGAGGGACAAGGTGAAAGGAGAGAGTAGAATAAATGGGGGGGTAGGATGGAGGGAAATACAGTTAGCAATAGTAGCTGTGAAAAAAATTTTGAAATTAGTTTCTCTGATAAAGGTCTCATTTCTGAGTCAAATGAGAATTGAGTAAATTTATAAAAATAAGAGTCATTCCCCAATTTATAAATGATCAAAAGATATGAACAATTTTCAAATGAAGTAATCAGAGTTAGCTATAGCCACATAAAAAAAATACTCTAACTCACTGTTGATTGGACAAAAACAAATTAAAACAATTCTAAGGTACTACCTCTTACCTATTAGATTGGCTAATAGCACAGAAAAAGGTAAATAACATAAGAAGTGAAAATAGAAAAGAATCCACCACATAGACCTGACAAAATATGAACCCTGGAACCCCTCCCCCCAAAATTTCCTCTGAACTTTCCCACAAGGCCCTGGTGGTTGCCTGAGGCTACAATCTTTCCAACAGTCCTTGCACTGTGGCTTTGACCCTGCCCCAATCTCCAATTCTGATTACCTCTAACCTAGCCCAGTCTTTCATGGTCAGTAACCTCTAGATCTGCTGAGCCACTTCCCACCCTTAATTCCATCTAGACCCCTAGTTACCTCTGGGTCACTGCAGCCTACTGGCCACTCCTAGATCCCCTTCAAATCTTTCTACAAATTATTTTTCCCTTATAAAAGACATCAATCTCATCTACCAATTGCTCAGACTCCTTAAGAGTCTGGCCTGCTTCTATTGGCGAAACAATGAACCTTGTCTTTGACTTAAAGAAGGCTTGAGTCAAATTCTTTCCAGGCAGAACTTTGTCTTTTGCCCTTGAATTTCAGGGTTCCCAGCACCCCTAGATCGCAACAGACCCATTAGTGTGTCTAATTCTCTCAACCAATCTTAATACATTTTTTGTATAGAATCATCTATTTCATCCACTGGCTCAAAGCATTTCATACTGACCAAATTAATTAAAGACTTTTCACACTTAGTTAATGCTAGTTATTATTATGGCAAATTTGATGGTACATTGCCCTAGCAAAAAACTGAGGGGTAGAGGGATTGGAGGTGACAGCAAGAAGAAGAGGGTTAGGGATCAGAAGGTTTAAATGAAGGATGGAATGACAAAAGATTATCATGGGACAAAGGAATTTCAGGATTCACAAATCGAAGTGGATATAACACTGCAGCCTGACAAGGTAGATACTGTTGAGGTTAGGGTTGCTGGGACCCATAAATAGCCACGTGGATCCTGCCAGAACGAATTCAACCCAACCCTTCTTTCAGTCAAAGACAAGGTTTATTAAAGGTTTACCATATTGGCCAGATTCTTAAAGAATCTGAACATTTGTGAGCTATTGGCTAGATTATAGAAATCTAAGTACCTTAATGGAGACAAGATGGACCTTATATACAGAAAGACTGTGGGAGGGATCTAGGAGTGGCCAAGTAGTCTGGGGTGACCGTAGGAGGGGTCTAGTGAGGATCTTGATGGGAGTGGCCAGTAGGCTGGGGTTACTAGAGGTCACAATCCAAGTAGGGATAGGGTCTGGATAGGATCAAGTATGGGAAGTAGCTGGGGGCCAGCCCAGGTAACAGACAATGGAGGCCTGGGTTAGGTTAAGGGTAACTAAGAATTGGGAGATTGGGTCTGGATGCAATGAAAGGCCAGTTTATTATAGCCTCAGGCAAATGCTAGCGACTTCCTAGATCTAGAGGGAGAATTCAAGGACAGTGTTTCCAAAGTCTGTACCCCAATCAGATACTACTACTGATTCCCTGCCCTCACATAGCTAAAAGATTGTACAGCAGGGATCCTACTACTCTATGAACAAAGAAAAGCCAGTCTTCCTGTAAGCTGGAAAAGGCTTTTCTCATAGTGGGTCACAAGGCTGTGGTTAAATAACTCTCATGGGAAAGGGGGGAGGGAGGGAATAAGGCTCAAAAAACTTGGAAATATGACTCTTCTACACTACCTTGTGCCCAAAGAAGCAAATTAAACCCACTTTTTCAAAATAAGAGTGAATGTATTAGACCTGAGGACCCTTTAAAATCTAAAGCGCACTAAGGGAAGAAGAAGACGGGAGGGGGTGGGGGGAATGCTTGTTAACTGAAACAATAAAATGTAGCCACTACAAAAAAAAAATCAAGAATATCAGATTCAAACAGAATGAACCTCTGCTTTAATGTTCACGCAGCTCTTCCCCTTCCTACTACACAACTACAAAAGTGGTTCGGATGCGTTCTCCCTTCCCTTCTCGAGATAACTGTCACTATTATTTCGAAATAATATCCAGCACCACTCTCACCCCACCAGCTCCCTAAAATCTGCAACCTTCCCTCCCCCAACAAAAGCGGAAAGGGAGCATGCGCACTGAGAAATGGGGGGGAGAGAAAAGGGAGAAAGGGGGAGGAGGAAGCGCAGAGAGAGACGGGAAGAGAGACAGATTGTGAGAGACAGAGACGGAGAATGGGGGCGGGGGAGGGGAGATGAGGCAGTGAAGAGGGCGCTCTTGCACTCAGAGGCCCCGACGTCATTGTCGGACGTGGGCCTGGCCTTCCAGGAAAGCGTAGGTGGAGGATGAGAGGGGAGTCACGTGGCAGAAAGAGGAAGCCCTTGGGCGGGAGGGGAAGGGAGTGGAGGGGAGGAGGAGGAGGAGAAGGAGGGAGCAGGAAGGGTAGGGAGCAGGGAGGGAGAACAGGAAGGGGATTTTTGCTCCCCCGCCCCTCTCAGCCTCCCCAGCTCGACTCCTCGCCGCGGGGTTACCAGTTCCTGCCCATACCAGGCGCAAGCGCAAAAGAGGCCGGAGCCCGCCTCCTCCTGCCGCTGTTCACCAAGCGCGGCGGGACCCACCGCTGCTCCCGAGGACTGGTGTCTCCGGAGGATGCCCCGAGGGCGGTGGCGACTTTGCCAACGGCCAGGACGATGCCCTCCTTCTCCCCGGCCGCGGTCCTGGTGCTGCTGGTCGCCTCCGGGAAGCTGTCGCGCTTCCCCCGCGCTGCCGGTGAGCCCCCCGGCGGCCCCAGGCGAAGGGTGTGGCCGAGGACGCCCGGGGTGCTTGGGGAGTGGGCGTGGGGAAGGGGAGAGGGGACACCCCGCTGGTAGGGGATGCGATGGTCGGCACCTCCTCGCCTCCACTGTTCCCTTGACCGCCCCCCACCCCGGGCTAACCAAAGTCCTCCCGCCCCCAATCTTCTGGGCTGTGGTTGAGCCATCTTCCAAACGAAAGACGCCTTGCAAGGAAGAATTAGCTAACTTTCCGTGGTAGTCTTCTCATTTTCCCAATGAGGAACAGTGAGGTTAAGCGACTTGCCTAGGCTCACACTGTTGCTAAATGTTAGCAGGCAGCCAACTAGCATTTATGAAGCGTCTACTGTATGCCACAGCCACCGTCCCAAGCTCTGGATACAAAAAGAGGCAAAGGACAAGTGCCTGCCCTTAAGGAGCTCTAGGTCCTAATGGGATGAGATAGAGAGATAACATGCAAACAGTTATGTGCATACGCTGAATGTGCGGGATAGATTGGAGATTTGTCAACAAAAGGAAGGCACCAGGACTAAGGGAAAATGGCCAAGGAAGGCTTCTTGTAGAAGAATTTTAGCTGGGACCTGGAGGAAACCAGGGACGCCAGAGGGGGAGGCAGAGGTGAGGAAAGACAGCATCCCATGCATGAGGGACAGCTAATGAGAATGCCGGGAGTCGGGAGATGGCATGCCTCTGGGAGAGGAAGCTTTCTCTGAAGTTCATTTGTTTGAGGGGGTTTTCTCCGGAGTTTTGGGAGAGCTGTATGGCAGAATCCTCCTCTCCTTAAATACAGGGCTTTCAGCATCCTGATCCTGGGTAATGGTAATAATGCTTCACATTTGTAGCGGATATTTTTTGAGCTGATGAATACATTTTGACAACATAAAAGTATAAGGCATTTACAAAGTAGCTTTGTGACAGTCAACTGCAATTTAACCAAAGTTAAATACCTTCCTTATTCTAAAAAGGGGCAAGGTGGATAATACCTAGAAAGAAATTCAGTAGTGTTGTTTGAATGGCATTGTGGTACTTGGTATTACAGAAAATTAATAACATAGCGTTAGATACAGTACAGGTTTACAGAGGTTTTTACATATTTTAAAGATCATGTATCCAAAAAATAATTTTTTTCTACACCTTTGACTTGTTTTTTATCTTTTACTTTTTTTCTAGACTCTGGCATTGTTGGGGGGAGAGGGATAATAAATATAAATGAAATCTACTTTAGCACAGTTTCGAAACTGTAAATGATTAAAAATTGTTTTATGAGCACATCCTTTGAACACTGTATGTGAATGAGTACAATTTTTTGCATATTAATAAAAGTGCTAGCTGGAGGTATTCAAGCGGAGTTTATTAGATAGATATTTATTTAGTATTCAAAGGAATTTGCAAACTTGTCTTTGTATTTATAAAATTTGTACCTGGAAAAAGTTCCTTAATTTAAAAAAAATTTTACTGTGTTTTTGTTTATTCCTCTAACTTTTCCTAATGATTAACCAAAAAAGGTAACACTCTCCATTTTCCCTGGTAGCTCTTCCATCGATAAGTAGCTTTTCCGTAACTGTATTATAAGTTTCAATAGACAATTTTTAAAGCGTACAAATAAAATAATACATTTTTCAAAGTAAAAAATAGTTATAATAACATAGGGTTAGTGTCATACCAGTCAATTAGGTGTACTAGGACTGGCTAGCAAGGACAGAGCCTGAGAAGCAGGTATTTCAGATGCATTATCTGTTGCATAGCTTACAAGGTGTGGCAGGAACAAGGTAAGAGAAAATGTAAGAGAAATTTGAGTCCAATACAGGTCAGATGGCATGTGTACCTTGTGGAGGGGCTATTAATGAGGACTTAGGCTGGACTAATAACAGTGCATTAAGTTGATGGAAAAGGGCCTCATACAGAGTTCAGAAACACAAATAGAGATTTGAAGAAAAAAAGTCAAGGAAACTACAGCTGCACTTCTAAGTCAACAAACATTTATTAAGAGTGTGCCAAGCACGGTAGACAGTTAATTCAGAGGATAGTACCAAGAGCTCTAAGGCTAGAATTAGTAGTCTGTCTGGGGTGTCAGAGACAAGATGTGAATGGTTTCCAGATGGACATGTTTCAACAATGGTGTACTGTCTGTGCTGTCTTGCTAAATCCCATTAGACAAAGCTCCGCTCTGAAAAATTACCCCATCAATGTTCTGCAATTATTTGGATGTATGGAAGTGGAGGATGGGAAAAGGACATCTGGTGGGTTTCCTGTAAGTGTCCTCCTGATTGATAAGGAGGGAATCACTGAGGTCCTCAGTCATAGGGAGCAGGTTCAGGAGAATTTTACACTTTGAAACTCTGGGAAGCACACAGGAGACTTAAATTTATAGATAATTAAAATTAAGTAACACAAGTCTTAGCTAAGATTTACTTGGCCTCTCCATTTAAAAGCTACTAGTTGATAAAATAGACTACGTGGTTGTTAATAGTTTACAATTATTTTTTTAGAACTATTATTTGACCACTATTGGGAAATGGCTTTTGGTCTTATACAGTGTGTCAGAAACGTTTTCTATTTTTTCATTCTTTATATTTTGTTTTTTTATTTCTTCATCTCTTATAACTTCGTTGGCTTCCCCTTGTCCTTCTGATTTTCAAGGAGTCATTTTCTTCCTTAAGCTTCTGGATCTCCTTTTCATAATCTTCTTGTTTTTCTCGTATTATTCTTTTCTTTTTAGTTTTTCCTCAGTCTCTCTTATTTTATATTTAAAGTCTTTTTTAAGTTCTTCGATGAGTTCTTTTTGGGCAGGTGACCATTTGACATTACTCTTTGGGGTAGAAGAGGGTTTCTTTGCTTCCATATCCTCTGAAGACGAATCCCAATCTTCTCTATTCTCATAGTAGCTCTCTATGGTTGGATTCTTTCTCCTTTGCCTGTGCGGTTTTTTTTTATAATAATTTAGTTACTAATCCCCTTCAGTTCACCCTTTTGACCTTGAACTCAAACCAAGACCTCCAGCTTCCTGTAAGTGGCCACAGTAGAGGTGTCCTCCCACCCCCACCCCACCAATGCTTGTGTGCTGGTTCCTTCTCGTCATCCTGGCAGCACAGCTGGGTCTGGCATTCCTTGTCAGAAGGGCTTCCCTCCATCTTCTCCAGGTCAGATGCCCAACTCCCCTCACTGAGGGGGAGTGGGGGGTTAAAGTTACTGTGGCTGGGGAAGAGGCAGCCTCCCAAACCAGCTAACCCCAGGGCTTGCTGCTTATTGTTGAAGACGACCCTAGCCTGGAGGTGTTTACTCTTCACCAGGAGGAGATCTTATCCAGGATTTTTCTTCAGACCTTCTCCAATTGTGCCAAGAGGACCCCTGTTCTGCCCCTACTCTTACTTATTTTCATGGCTCTGTGTTGGCCCCGTGACGCTATTTTATTTCTTTTATGGAGGAAAATCTTGAGAGCTTGAAATTTTCTGACCTACTCTGCCATCTTCCCAGAATCCTCTATTTCTTTTACTGAGATTGAATTATTTAGAATTTTTATTTTGTGATCTGCTAATTTGAGTATTTTATATTTTTGAAGATTTCCCTCTATTTCTTTTGTGTTTTCAGTTTTGTTAGCATGTAACTACATAATAAGTTCTGATACTTCTTTTTATTTCTTCTGGTTGTGATTTTATTTTGTTCATTTTCTAGTTGATTTGCTTTTCTGCTCTCTTCCTTTTAATCAGGTCAGCTAAAGGATTATTTGTTAGTATTTTCTTTTTTTTGTTTGTTAGGCAGTCGGGGTTAAGTGACTTGCCTAAGGTCACACAGCTGGTACATGTCAAGTGTTTGGTCCGAGGCTGGGTTTGAACTCAGGTCCTCCTGACTCTATCTACTGCGCCACCTAGCGGCCCCCCCCCTTTTTTTTTGGTTAGTATTTTCAAAGAACCAACTTTTGGTTTTATTGATCATTTCTATGGGGGGGAGGGGTTTCCAGTTTTTTCCTCCTTTCATTTTTAATATCCCTTCTTTTGAGCTTATTTTAATTTTGTTATCTTTCTAATTCATTTTATTAATTCATTTCATTAATCTTCTCTTCTATTTTGTTGATGTATGTTTACAGAGATATGTTTTTCCCCACAAATGTTTTAGCTGCATCTCTGTTTCATAATTCATCTTGTTTCATTTATTTCACTTATTGTTTCTATGATTTTTTGACTCATTCAATATTTAGCATTTCTTTTGTCTCTATTTTTGTCCATGTCTTTCTTTTGTGTTCCCTGATCTGTTATTATTTTTATTGTGTTATGATCTAGAAAAATGTGTTTACTATTTCTGCCCTTTTACATTTGTTTGCAATATCTCTGGCCTAACATGGAACCAGTTTTTATAAAAGTTTTATGTGGTGCTGAAAAATATGTAAATTCTTTTTCAGACCTATTTAGGATATACTATTAAGACTTTTAGTTCTAGTTTCTCCAGCAATTTTTACAATTGTATATTTTCACTTTTGCTAACATTTTTGTGGATGCAGAATAGTTCTCTGATAGTAGAATTTCCTTTTCCTTTGTATTTGAAGGTCTTTCTCCTGGTCACTTGCAATATTTCTTATTTGTCATTGGAATTGTTAAATCCAACCACTATGTGTCTTGGAATTTCCAGCATATAGTTGTTATTGTTATTGTTGTTATTTATCGGGGGAGGGGGCAGAAGTTGATGTGATCTATGAATGCTTTTAATTATCACTTTGTTTTCTGTGTTCAGAAATTCCAGGCAGTTTTCTTCTATTATTTCCTTATATTATGGTGTTCAGGATTTTGATCTATGTTCTTCTGGGAAATATATTATCCTTAAGTTATCTATATCCTGTCTTCAAGATCAATCAATATGTTTTGCTTGTATGGAGATAATGTTTTCTTTGAATGTTATTACTTTGAGGGACAGAGTAAAGATCATGGCGTAAGAGGTAGCATTTTTGCCTTAGCTCCTCCGCAACAACTAGAAAATGTGCCAGAC